TATCGCAACTCACTTTTATTATATAAAATCAATATAAAAAGTGAATCCTAATATCGCAACTCACTTTTATTATATAAAATCAATATAAAAAGTGAATTATAATACCATCACTTATACTATATAAAATCATAGTTTCAGGTCAACAGGTCATTCAGGTTATATTGATGTTACAACCTGAACTGATGCTGAATTGCAATTGCTAAACCTGACCTGATAAATTCAGGTCAACCTGTCAGGTTACCTGAATTTGGTCAACCTGTTCGGAACTCTAGACTCATCACACCATCCATCAACCACTATAACAGAATTAAAATATTTAATATATATATAATATTATTATTTAATTTGAAATAATTTAAAATAAATTACCTAATGTTAAATTTTTTTCATATTTGAGCTTTTCTTTAATTTTATTTAAAATTATAGTAATTTCTTTATTTAAGAAAGTTGTTGAAAGAGCTATTCTTTTAGAATAATTATAGGCAAAATAAAGACTCATATCTGCCGGTCTGCAGAATTAACAAAATTCATCTAAATTAAGGAATTTGACAATAATTTAATAAAAATTAGGTAAATTAAGTTTTGCAAAAATGATCACACTTGTACTAGGACCCCGGACATCACATATATAACTCATAACTGATCTGCATGAATTTAGCACTTTTTGCTCCTACTAAAATAGACCTAATTTGCTAAAAATCAAATTATCACATTTTAAATCTATACTAATTTGCTAAAACTCAAAATATGAGTGTAACTTTTTAGCAAATTGGCCTAAATTTCAAAAAAAAATCAAGTTTTTTATGATTATCTCGACATCCAGTGGTCTAATTTATGTGAACTTTTTTGTTTTGTAGCCCTCATCGAGCTCTACAAATTAAAAAAAATCTGCATGAATTGGATCACCGGATGCCGAGATAATCGCAAAAAACTGAAAATAAAAAAAATGTTGCGAAACTAATTGGACAGTTTTTGGCCTGCATTATGCTTAATTTTGGCCTGCATTATGCTTAATTTTGGCCTGCATTATACTTAAT